ACACTGTTCGGTCCATCCTAGATTCGAGACGCCGGATGGGGGGTCTCCAATATCTCGTGGAGTGGGAGGGGTATGGCCCGGAGGAGCGGTGCTGGGTGCCGAGGAGGGACATCCTAGACCCGTCTCTTCTGACCGAGTTCCATCGTGGTCATCCCACGCGCCCTGCCCTGCTGGGATGACCACGATGGAACTTCCTGGTCGTCCTCGAGGCCGGGGTCGGCGCACGGCTGGTGCCGCGCGTCAAGGGGGGGGTACTGTCATGGTTTCGGCCGAGTCTGCTCCTTCTCCTTGTTCGGGCAGGCTTCGGCGGTCGTCGTCTCCGGAGTACTAGCTGCCACCGTTCTATGTTTCGATGTTTGTTTGGTTTTGTCTGTTTTGTTACACCTGTTCCTGGTTAGTGTTAATTATGCGTCCTATAAGTTCTCTTGGGTTTTTGTCATGTGTTGTGTGTATTGTTCGTTGTCACTGTGGGATGCTAGTTCGTTTTTTCTCTCTGTTCTGTGTAGTAGAGAGTTCCGCACTTTGCGTGCCTTTTGTATGTACATTACCGGTGTGCGTAAAGTTCGCTTGCCTGCCAGGTTGTATTTAGCCGTGTTTGGCTTGTTCTTTTTGTCTTCACTAAAGACGTCAGTACGAAGCCTCTGTGTGTCCTGCGCTTGATTCCACACCACATCTACACTCAACCGTGACATAGACATTGCTCATCCATATATTTATTTATATATTCTTAATCCCATTGCTTTACTTAGATTTGTGTGTATTGGGTATATGTTGTGAAATTGTTAGATATTACTTGTTAGATATTACTGCACTGTCGGAGCTAAAAACACAAACAATTCGCTACACCCGCAATAACATCTGCTAAACACGTGTATGTGACCAATAAAATTTGATTTGATTTGATTTTGACATCAGTCAAAATACCTCAAAACAAGACATGGTATCAATAACAAGATACGAGCTGAAACGAGCCACCTATGATACCCCACATGGCAGCTTCTTGTAATTCTTGCTAGGTATCTGACCGTTCAGAATCAAATCAAAGCACGCCTTCCGGCCACATCGATGTGCGCGCATCATTTTTGTGACGTTGTCAGCCAACCCATAATGTCCAGATATACAGTGAGGGAAAAAAGTATTTGATCCCCTGCTGATTTTGTACGTTTGCCCACTGAAAAAGAAATGATCAGTCTATCATTTTAATGGTAGGTTTATTTGAACAGTGAGAGACAGAATAACAACAAAAAAATCCAGAAAAACGCATGTCAAAAATGTTATAAATTGATTTGCATTTTAATGAGGAAAACAAGTATTTGACCCCTCTGCAAAACATGACTTAGTACTTGGTGGCAAAACCCTTGTTGGCAATCACAGAGGTCAGACATTTCTTGTAGTTGGCCACCAGGTTTGCACAAATCTCAGGAGGGATTTTGTTCCACTCCTCTTTGCATATCTTCTCCAAGTCATTAAGGTTTCGAGGCTGACGTTTGGCAACTCGAACCTTCAGCTCCATCCACAGATGTTCTATGGGATTAAGGTCTGGAGACTGGTTAGGCCACTCCAGGACCTTAATGTGCTTCTTCTTGAGCCACTCCTTTGTTGCCTTGGCCGTGTGTTTTGGGTCATTGTCATGCTGGAATACCCATCCACGATTCATTTTCAATGCCCTGGCTGAGGGAAGGAGGTTCTCACCCAATATTTGACGGTACATGGCCCCGTCCATCGTCCCTTTGATGCGGTGAATTTGTCCTGTCCCCTTAGCAGAAAAACACCCCCAAAGTATAATGTTTCCACCTCCATGTTTGACGGTGGGGATGGTGTTCTTGGGGTCATAGGCAGCATTCCTCCTCCTTCAAACACGGCGAGTTGAGTTGATGCCAAAGAGCTCCATTTTGGTCTCATCTGACCACAACACTTTCACCCAGTTCTCCTCTGAATCATTCAGATGTTCATTTGCAAACTTCAGATGGGCCTGTATACAGTGGGGGAAAAAAGTATTTAGTCAGCCACCAATTGTGCAAGTTCTCCCACTTAAAAAGATGAGAGAGGCCTGTAATTTTCATCATAGGTACACGTCAACTATGACAGACAAATAGAGAATTTTTTTTCCAGAAAATCACATTGTAGGATTTTTAATGAATTTATTTGCTAATTATGGTGGAAAATAAGTATTTGGTCACCTACAAACAAGCAAGATTTCTGGCTCTCACAGACCTGTAACTTCTTCTTTAAGAGGCTCCTCCGTCCTCCACTCGTTACCTGTATTAATGGCACCTGTTTGAACTTGTTATCAGTATAAAAGACACCTGTCCACAACCTCAAACAGTCACACTCCAAACTCCACAATGGCCAAGACCAAAGAGCTGTCAAAGGACACCAGAAACAAAATTGTAGACCTGCACCAGGCTGGGAAGACTGAATCTGCAATAGGTAAGCAGCTTGGTTTGAAGAAATCAACTGTGGGAGCAATTATTAGGAAATGGAAGACATACAAGACCACTGATAATCTCCCTCGATCAGGGGCTCCACGCAAGATCTCACCCCATGGGGTCAAAATGATCACAAGAACGGTGAGCAAAAATCCCAGAACCACACGGGGGGACCTAGTGAATGACCTGCAGAGAGCTGGGACCAAAGTAACAAAGCCTACCATCAGTAACACACTACGCCGCCAGGGACTCAAATCCTGCAGTGCCAGACGTGTCCCCCTGCTTAAGCCAGTACATGTCCAGGCCCGTCTGAAGTTTGCTAGAGTGCATTTGGATGATCCAGAAGAGGATTGGGAGAATGTCATATGGTCAGATGAAACCAAAATAGAACTTTTTGGAAAAAACTCAACTCGTCGTGTTTGGAGGACAAAGAATGCTGAGTTGCATCCAAAGAACACCATACCTACTGTGAAGCATGGGGGTGGAAACATCATGCTTTGGGGCTGTTTTTCTGCAAAGGGACCAGGACGACTGATCCGTGTAAAGGAAAGAATGAATGGGGCCATGTATCGTGCGATTTTGAGTGAAAACCTCCTTCCATCAGCAAGGGCATTGAAGATGAAACGTGGCTGGGTCGTTCAGCATGACAATGATCCCAAACACACCGCCCGGGCAACGAAGGAGTGGCTTCGTAAGAAGCATTTCAAGGTCCTGGAGTGGCTTAGCCAGTCTCCAGATCTCAACCCCATAGAAAATCTTTGGAGGGAGTTGAAAGTCCGTGTTGCCCAGCGACAGCCCCAAAACATCACTGCTCTAGAGGAGATCTGCATGGAGGAATGGGCCAAAATACCAGCAACAGTGTGTGAAAACCTTGTGAAGACTTACAGAAAACGTTTGACCTGTGTCATTGCCAACAAAGGGTATATAACAAAGTATTGAGAAACTTTTGTTATTGACCAAATACTTATTTTCCACCATAATTTGCAAATAAATTCATTAAAAATCCTACAATGTGATTTTCTGGAAAAAAAATTCTCATTTTGTCTGTCATAGTTGACGTGTACCTATGATGAAAATTACAGGCCTCTCTCATCTTTTTAAGTGGGAGAACTTGCACAATTGGTGGCTGACTAAATACTTTTTTTCCCCACTGTATGTGCTTTCTTGAGCAGGGGGGCCTTGCGGGCGCTGCAGGATTTCAGTCCTTCATGGCGTAGTGTGTTACCAATTGTTTTCTTTGTGACTATGGTCCCAGCTGCCTTGAGATCATTGACAAGATCCTCCCATGTAGTTCTGGGCTGATTCCTCACCGTTCTCATGATCATTGCAACTCCACGAGGTGAGATCTTGCATGGAGCCCCAGGCCGAGGGAGATTGACAGTTCTTTTGTGTTTCTTCCATTTGCGAATAATCGCACCAACTGTTGTCACCTTCTCACCAAGCTGCTTGGCGATGGTCTTGTAGCCCATTCCAGCCTTGTGTAGGTCTACAATCTTGTCCCTGACATCCTCGGAGAGCTCTTTGGTCTTGGCCATGGTGGAGAGTTTGTAATCTGATTGATTGATTGCTTCTGTGGACAGGTGTCTTTTATACAGGTAACAAGCTGAGATTAGGAGCCCTCCCTTTAAGAGTGTGCTCCTAATCTCAGCTCGTTACCTGTATAAAAGACACCTGGGAGCCAGAAATCTTTCTGATTGAGAGGGGGTCAAATACTTATTTCCCTCATTAAAATGCAAATCAATTTATAACACTTTTGACATGCATTTTTCTGGATTTTTTTGTTGTTATTATGTCTCTCACTGTTCCAATAAACCTACCATTCAAATTATAGACTGAGCATGTCTTTGTCAGTGGGCAAACGTACAAAATCAGCAGGGGATCAAATACTTTTTCCCCTCACTGTACTTGTGCTCCAATTGCATCTAGCTCTTGAAATGTAATGGTGAATGTCTAATTACCATTGTTGCAAAAATATTGTTTTCATTTCTAAATATCTGATTAATCAGTTAATCATGAAATATATAGGCACATTTCTCAAATGAAACACAATACTCTTAGGGCCCGATTCAATCAGATCCGCTTTAGCCGACATCCACATAGCTGATGTTTTGATGGTGTCGGCAGGTAGCTTAGTGGTTAAGAGCGTTGTGTCTGTAACCAAAAGGTCGCTGGTTCTAATCCCTGAGCTGACTAGGTGAAAAATCTGTCGATGTGCCCTTGAGCAAGGCACTTAACTCTAATTGCTCCTGTAAGACGCTCTGGATATGATGACGTAAATGTAATGTCGGAGATGGAACTGCTTTAGAGCTCACTAGCAGCTCCCGGCATTATACCTAAAGCGGACGTTGCCATTGGGCAGCCTTGGTTACAAGTTCAAACAATGGAATGTGAAATGTAATTTACACCTTGATTAGGCTGATAGAAATCCTCATTATTTAGTTTAATGATTTTCAATTTGAGCATCATTATTTCTAAATAGCCTACACTTTCTTGTTGACCTGATTGAATCTAGGCCTTAGAAAAGCATACTTGCCGATATAATTTCAACATGAAAGTACAAAGGGAAGGAAATTAGAGGTTCATATTGACAAGGTCCTGAAAAAGATGTCCATGAAACGTCATTATGTCCATGTCCATGAAAGGGCCCATAGGTGAAGTAGGGAAGGAGGGAGTGATAAAGCAGTGGACAAGCTTTATCTGAACAGCCCCGTTGGTTGACCAGAAAAAGCCATGTCCTCTTACCACATTTTGAGTGAATTTCTCAAATGAAGTTCTGCGGTCCTGAATGCCTCCCTAATTAACCAAAAAATTATGTGAAAAGAAACCAAAAGAAAAGGAAAGCCAGAAAAGATAGACAGAGCTGAAACTGAAAAGTGAAGGAATGGGAAACAAACTAATCTGTGAGGAGAGGCCCTTTGAAAAATAATAGCGAATATAAGGATATGCTAATGTATTTACGATGAGAATTATACAATGAGACTTAACATAACACAAACCATAAGCCCAGCCTGGTCTCAGAGCAAAACGTATAATATTTTACTAAAATCCGTGTCACTCCATTTTAGTATGATATGTTACGTTACGTTAGGTAACATTACATTGACCTACCTTAATCCGGGATACTCAAATTAGTATGATCTGTTACTTTTGGGTTGACAGTAGGTTACTTAAAGCAAAAACGAAAGGAGGGTGGTTGGTCAGGGTGGATGGGTAGGCTTATATGTGACTCGTTTCAGGAAACTAGGCATATGTCGAGGGTCACTACTTCACAGGAGAGCCATTTGAACGTAAACTTTGTTTTTAATCAAAATGCGTTTTTTGGCAGAAATGCCTTCTGGAACATGTGAACTTTCATGTGCCTTAATAACAAACTTGTATGCCATCTGTAAATACAAATAAAAAAAATAATTACGAGCCTAGTTGGTTAAAACACAGAAAAAGACAGCAACCTTCCCACTAGCCATGATTGGCTGAGATAATGAGTGGGCTGGACATGCCGAGAGAGGAGTTAGGATTGGTCTGCCATATAGCACGCTTCTGTCTATTTGAGCTGGTCAGTATGTGTAAGTAATCCTGTCTAACATGGCTTTTTAAATAATGTATCATGTAGTGGAGCTGCATGAGTGTTGCTCTCCACTTTCTGGTGTATGATCTTATTATTCGTATCTCAGAGCCAGTTGCTTGGCTAGTTAGAGCCTAATGTGAGCTAGCTAACATTGAACCTGGTTGGTTAGCTACCTGCAGATTCATGCAGGGTAGTAAAGTCATGAGTTGGGATTATGGTTCATTGTTTAACTAGCTAGCTAACGTTAGCTGGCAGGCTCGCTAGCTAACATTACATGTATGATCTTATTATTCATATCTCAGAGCCAGTTGCTTGGCTAGTTAGAGCCTAATGTTTACCTAGCTAGCTAGCTACATGTCTTAACAAAAGACTCCACTATGCAAGTAACCATTTCGGGTGCGTTCGTAAATTCAGTCTGAGTATGCCAGAGCGCAGAATAACTGATGAATTTACGGACGTACAACACCCGTTGAATATACATTTACATTTACGTCATTTAGCAGACGCTCTTATCCAGAGCGACTTACAAATTGGTGCATTCACCCTATAGCCAGTGGGATAACCACTTTACAAATATTTTTTTATATATATATTTTTTTTAATATTTTTATTTATTTATTTATTTATTATTTTTTTTTGGGGGGGGGGGGGGGGGGTAGAAGGATTACTTTATCCAATATGGCCGGGGTCAGTAAACGTCGGCAAAAAAGCATAATTAAATTGTTGCCAGCAGCACAGTTACAGTCACCAACGCACTGGATAACATGAAAACAGCCTAACCAGCTCTGCTAGGGCAAGTAAAATGGTCATTGGGGTGTTATCTCACTTGAGTAAAATGGTCAGTGGGGTGTTCTCTCATTTGAATAAATGGTCAGTGGGGTGTTCTCTCATTTGAGAGATCACCCCACTGACTATTTTACTCAGCCTAGCAGAGCTGGTTAGGCTGTTTTCATGTTATCCAGAGGTAAACAATGAACCATAATCCCAATTTTGTGTCTGGAAGTAGCTAGCAAGCTAGCCAATGTTAGCCAGTTAGCTTGGGTGCTTGACTGCAGTTGTGAGTTCAGAACGCTCTGATCAACCCTACTCATCGGCCAGAGCGTCAAGTGTGCGCTCTGAACGCTCCAAGAGCGAAACGAGATGGGTTGAGCTAAAGTGGGTGTGAACGATGCTGAATGAGTGTAGACAAAGAAGAGCTCTTCAGTAGGTACCAAAACATTCAAAGGCCATTTTCTCAAAAGTGAGATTACAAGTTTATCAACTTTCAAAGCAGAATTACTTTCCCATTGTTCCCTTAAATGCAGTGTATTATATACTGTACCATTTTGTAGCTCTGTGTCTCTACTTTTATCCAATGTAAAAAACACAATTTCAAATTTTGCTACATAAGACCGAATGAAGGCGGTCGGTCACATATATGCAAACGACTAGCAACTTAAAGGTTGTGTGTTTGAATCACATCATGGACAACTTTAGCATTTTAGCACTTTGCAACTACTTAGTACTTTTTAGCTATTTAAAACTACTTAGCATGTTAGCTAACCCTTCCACTAACCCTAACCTTAACCCTTTAACCTAACTCTTAATCCTAAACTTAACCCTAACCTTAACCCCTAACCTAACGTAGCAGATCATACTAAAGCGGTCAAATGTAATATATCATACTAAAGCAGTCGAATGTAATATATCATACTAAAGAAGTCGATAGTAATATATCATACTAAGGCAGTCGAACGTAATATATCATACTAAAGAAGTCTAAAGTAATATATCATACTAAAGCAGTCAAACGTAATACATCATACTAAACGGGTCAAGACATAGAATACTATACATCCTACAATTCGTATTATATTGTATGACCCCTATTCCATTGGTAGGCCAATGTAATGTAACCTAAAGTAAAGTAACATATCATACTAAATGGAGTGGCAAAGATTATTTTAAAATATAATACGCTTTGCTCTGAGACCAGGTTGATAAGCCACATTTAGCAATCATAGAATATCATGAAGGAACTATAATTTGAATTTCCCCATCATCACAACCATCCTTACAGGTCAGACACCTTATGAGGCATTTTCTTGGCATGTGAAAATGCTGCTAGTTATTCCTTCACTGCTGGGGGCACCAATATCATTGTTCCAGGCCCCAGGCAGAAAAGAGCAGGGCAGACAGCCTGGGAGGTTAAGGCTTTGAAGACCTTACCTTCTTCTTGGCCTGTAGCAGCTCCTGATAGGCACTGGAACGGATGAAGCGGCTGTAGGAGTCACTCTTCATCAGCTTGAAGATGTGATCCTGTCAACCATAAGGAAATGGTTCAACCACAGTGATGGTCACGTTGTAAGAACCCTTGATACGATTCAACGTTCCAGAATTTGTCTGTACAGATGAATGTACTGAACTGTACAGTAGCTTATCCAGCTGATGCATAAGCCAGTAACATGCCTATGTTTACCCTAAAGTTCACTAACATTTTATTACAGTGTTACCTGTGCGTCCTCAAAGGCATAGCGTCCAGGGTCCTTGACATTCTGGGTGGTCTTGTCGTAGCTCTTAGAGTCAACGTTGATGGCACTGGGAGCTCCAGAGGCCAGGAACTCCTGCCAGATCTCCTGAACCCGGGTCGGGACCTCCCGGATGGGCCTCTTCTTCACCTCCTGGACAGCTAGCCAGAACCTGCAGGACACAACACAGGGGGTGAGTGTGTACAAAGAAAATATACAGTACCAGTCAAAAGTTTGGACACACCTATTCATTCCAGGGTTTTTCTTTATTTTTACTATTTTCTACATTGTAGAATAATAGTGACAACATAAAAACTATGAAATAACGCATATGGAATCATGTAGTAACCAAAAAAGTGTTAAACAAATCAAAATATATTTTAGATTTTAGATTCTTCAAAGTAGCCACCCTTTGCCTTGATGACAGCTATGCACACTCCTGGAATGCTTTTCCATTAGTCTTGAAGGAGTTCCCACATATGCTGAGCACTTGTTGTCTGCTTTTCCTTCACTCTGCGGTCCAACTCATCCCAAACCATCTCAATTAGGTTGAGGTCGGGTGATTGTGGAGGCCAGGTCATCTGATGCAGCACGCCATCACTCTCCTTCTTGGTCAAATAGCCCTTACACAGCCTGGAGGTGTGTTGGGTCATTGTCCTGTTGAAAAACAAATGATAGTCCCACTAAGCACAAACCAGATGGGATGGCGTATCGCTGCAGAATGCTGTGTTAGCCATGCTGGTTAAGTGTGCCTTGAATTCTAAATAAATCACTGACAGTGTCACCAGCAAAGCACACTCACACCATCACACCTCCTCCTCCATGCTTCATGGTGGGAACCTCACATGCAGAGATCATCCGTTCACCTACTCTGCGTCTCACAAAGACACGGAGGTTGGAACCAAAAATCTCAAATTTGGACTCATCAGACCAAAGGACAGATTTCCACCTGTCTAATGTCCATTGCTCGTGTTTCTTGGCCCAAGCTAGTCTCTTCTTCTTATTGGTGTCCTTTAGTAGTGATTTATTTGCAGCAATTCGACCATGAAGGCCTGATTCACGCAGTCTCCTCTGAACAGTTGATGTTGAGATGTGTCTGTTACTTGAACTCTGTGAAGCATTTATTTGGGCTGCAATTTCTGAGGCTGATAACTCTAATGAACTTATCCTCTGCAGCAGAGGTAACTCTGGATCTTCCATTCCTGTGGCGGTCCTCATGAGAGCCAGTTTCATCATAGCGCTTGATGGTTTTTGCCAATGCACTTGAAGAAAATTTCAAAGTTCTTGAAATATTCCGTATTGACTGACCTTCATGTCTTAAAGTAATGATGGACTGTTGTTTCTCTTTGCTTATTTGAGCTGTTCTTGCCATAATATGGACTTGGTCTTTTACCAAATAGGGCTATCTTCTGTATACCACCCCTAACTTGTCACAACACAACTGATTGGCTCAAATGCATTAAGAAGGAAAGAAATTCCACAAATTAACTTTTAACAAGGCACACCTGTTCATTGAAATGAATTCCAGGTGACTACCTCATGAAGCTGGTTGAGAGAATGCCAAGAGTGTGCAAAGCTGTCATCAAGGCAAAGGTTGTCACCTCTGACTCTCACTCAGTTATATAATAACGACTCTCACTTAGTTACATTACCAGATTGACCTAAATATTACCTCTGGGCAAAACAGTTCAGAGAAGTACCAGCAGAGGGAGTACAGGAAACGTAAATGATTATGCAAATATACGTTATGATAGTGTGAGAGAAAGGAAGTGAGTGTATGCATGTGGGGGTGTACGTGGGTGCATGTGTGTTATGTGTGTGTGTATGCACTGTATCCCCTACCTAAGGTTTTCTGAGCTAAACTCAGACTCCAGGAACTTGAGGAACTGCTCCCTCCCCACCTGATCCTTGAGAACCTCATTGATGCCGAACGCCCACCTCTTCACCCTCTGCTGACCTGGCTCCTTACTGAGGAGAGACACACGCAGTCAGACAACACAGTGTATAAAGGGAAACCTCTGTGAACATTTAACAGTACACAGTACAGTAAACAGTACACACTATACAGTTACAAATCATTGTATTATTACCTGACATCCCTCAGGAGATGGTTTGCAGCAGAGCAACTTACAAAGCATTTACTGGTACCACACATAATACTTGTACCCGTGTAAAACAACACAGAATAACCACAGAGATAAAAAAAAGTCAAAAAGACAGTCCAAGAAGACACACCTGGCCTCCAGCTCCCACACTGTGGTGTCGTCTGAGATCCAGGGGTTGGAGGGGTCGGTTGGTGTGATGAAGGGGTCGTATTCCACATACTGCTCTGTATAGGCCAACAAACTGGGAGAAAGAAAACAAACTATTCAGTTCAGTCAGGTACAGTGGACAGAAAAGGTGACAATGTATCATGCCGCCTGGGGAACTCAGGATATGACTAAGAGCAGTGCTATACAGTATTTGACCTTCGAAGATAGCAGGAAGTGAAGTAATCTAGTGTCTTTGCTTTAACACAATAGTGAGTAACCCAGGCAACTAAGGATGGGAATCTACACTCTGTTCAGTGTTACGGCACAGGAAATGACAAATAGCCTTAGTGCTGATGATACACAGCCGGTATTGTTTGGACTAAACATTTTTCAAGGTTGTCTAAGCTCTTAATTACTGGCTACAATAAGCATTAAAGAGTTCAACAACAGATCAGTGGGGGGAGAATGAAGAGACAGAGAACTTAGCTCACCTCTCGGCCACTTTGGACATTTTCAGTCGATGTCTGTCTAATTGCCCTCCCCAATAAGTGATCTGGAACAACAAGGGGAAACAATATTTTGTGAATTTCTGGAAACCATAAGTGTACATTTGGAAAAAACTTTTCGTTCCAAACATACAATACCGTTCAAAAGTTTGGGGTCGCTTAGAAATGTCCTTGTTTTCGAAAGAAAAGCAATTTTCTTGTCCATTAAAATAACATCAAATTGATCAGAAATACAGGGAAGACATTGTTAATGTTGTAAACGTATTCACCCCCCTTGGCATTTTTCCTATTTTGTTGCCTTACAATCTGGAATTAAAATTGATTTTTTGGGGGGTTTGTATCATTTGATTTACACAACATGCCTACCACTTTGAAGATGCAATTTTTTTGTTGTTGTGTGAAACAAGCAAGAAATAAGACAAAAAAAACTTGAGCGTGCAGAACTATTCACCCCCTCCAAAGTCAATACTTTGTAGAGCCACATTTTGCAGCAATTACAGCTGCAAGTCTCTTGGGGTATGTCTCTATAAGCTTGGCACATCTATCCACTGGGATTTCTGCCTATTCTTCAAGGCAAAACTGCTCCAGCTCCTTCAAGTTGGATGGGTTCCGCTGGTGTACAGCAATCTTTAAGTCATACCACAGATTCTTAATTGGATTAAGGTCTGGGCTTTGACTAGGCCATTCCAAGACATGTAAATGTTTCCCCTTAAACCACTTGAGTGTTGCTTTAGCAGTATGCTTAGGGTCATTGTCCTGCTGGAAGGTGAACCTCCGTCCCAGTCTCAAATCTCTGGAAGACTGAAACAAGTTTCCCTCAAGTATTTCCCTATATTTAGCACCATCCATCATTCATTCAATTCTGACCAGTTTCCCAGTCCCTGCCGATAAAAAACATGGTGATGGTGTTCTCGGGGTGATGAGAGGTGTTGGGTTTGCGCAAGACATAGCGTTTTCCTTGATGGCCAAAAAGCTCAATTTTAGTCTCATCTGACATGAGTACCTTCTTCAATATGTTTGGGGAGTCTCCCACATGCCTTTTGGCGATCACCAAACATTTGCTTATTTTTTTTCTTCAAGCAATGGCTTTTTTCTGGCCACTCTTCCGTAAAGCCCAGCTCTGTGGAGTGTATGGCTTAAAGTGGTCCTATGGACAGATACTCCAATCTTCGCTGTGGAGCTTTGCAGCTCCTTCAGGGTTATCTTTGGTCTCTGATTAATGCCCTCCTTGCCTGGTCCGTGAGTTTTGGTGGGCAGCCCTCTCTTGGCAGGTTTGTTGTGGTGCCATGTTCTTTCCATTTTTTTATAATGGATTAAAATGGTGCTCCGTGGCATGTTCAAAGTTTCTGATATTTTTTTATAACCCAACCCTGATCTGTACTTCGCCACAACTTTGTCCCTGACCTGTTTGGAGAGCTCCTTGGTCTTCATGGTGCCGCTTGCTTGGTGGTGCCCCTTTCTTAGTGGTGTTGCAGACTCTGGGGCCTTTCAGAACAGGTGTATATATACTGAGATCATGTGACACTTGCACACAGGTGGACTTTATTTAACTTTATTTAACTAATTATGTGACTTCTGAAGGTAATTGGTTGCACCAGATCTTATTTAGGGGCTTCATAGCAAAGGGGGTGAATACATATGGACGCACCACTTTTCCGTTATTTATTTTTTGAATTTCACTTCACCAATTTGGACTATTTTGTCTATGTCCTTTACATGAAATCCAAATAAAAATCTATTTAAATTACAGGTTGTAATGCAACAAAATAGGAAAAATGCCAAGGGGGATGAATACATTTGCAAGGCGTACAGAGGCCCATTATCAGCAACCATCAGTCCTGTGTTAATCCAAGTTTATCATTTTAAAAGGCTAATTGATCATTAGAAAACCCTTTTGCAATTATGTTAGCACAGCTGAAAACTGTTGTGCTGATTAAAGAAGCAATAAAACTGGCCTTCTTAAGACTAGTTGAGTATCTGGAGCATCAGCAATTGTGGGTTCGATTACAGGCTCAAAATGGCCAGAAACAAATAACTTTCTTCTGAAACTCGTCAGTCTATTCTTGTTCTGAGAAATGAAGGCTATTCAATGCAAGAAATTGCCAAGAAACTGAAGATCTCGTACAAGGCTGTGTCCTACTCCCTTCACAGAACAGCATAAACTGGCTCTAACCAGAATAGAAAGAGGAGTAGGAGGCCCTGGTGCACAACTGAGCAAGAGGACAAATACATTAGAGTGTTTAGTTTGAGAAACAGATGCCTCACAGGTCCTCAACTGGCAGCTTCATTAAATAGTACCATTAAAACACCAGTCTCAACGTCAACACTGAAGAGGCGACTCCGGGTTGCTGACCTTCTAAGCAGAGTTGCAAAGAAAAATCCATATCTCAGACTAGCCAATAAAAAGAAAAGATTAAGATGGGCAGTCTGAGATATGGCTTTTTCTTTGCAATTCTGCCGAGAAGGTCAGCATCCCGGAGTCGCCTCTTCACTTTTGATGTTGAGACTGGTGATACTCAACTAGTCTCAAGAAGGCCAGTTGTATTGCTTCTTTAATCAGCACAACAGTTTTCAGCTGTGCTAACATAATTGCAAAAGGGTTTTCTAATGATCAATTAGCCTTTTAAAATGATCAACTTGGATTAGCAAACACAACGTGCCATTGGAACACAGGACTGATGGTTGCTGATAATGGGCCTCTGTACGCCTATGTAGATATTCCATTAAAAATCAGCCGTTTCCAGCTACAATAGCCATTTACAACATTAACAATGTCTACACTGTATTTCTGTAGTTATTTTAATGAACAAAAAAATTGCTTTTCTTTCGAAAACAAGGACATTTCTAAGTGACCCCAAACTTTTGAACGGTAGTGTACATTCTTGCAATGCAAGAGAAAACCACCCAGGCAGTGCAGCACCCTCTACATTACCTGGTCCTGTAGCTCCTCCTCTGTGGCCGGCTTGGCCTCTGGGGCAGGGGTGTGGGTGGGGCTGTGGTTGCGCACATCATTCTGAGGCCCATATACAGACTGAGGCAGAGATACAATCAAACAGAACCCACCAAAGTCAAACTCAAACAACAGTGTTTTCAGCTGACCTGTTATTCAGAAGTAATGGATTTATAGGACGCTCTAACCTTTCTTGTCTTGTGGGGGTTTTTCATTCTGGAGGACTTCTTTATGTCAACTTCTGTTGTGTTTACACATCCGGGCTGGAGAGCAACAGAAATGAACAGTATGAATGAATAAAATAAAGACCTTCAGAGAGCATTCTCTGCTTCTTCTTATTGATTCACTAGCAGCTCAGGTAGGACTGTTTAGTGAACCCAGCAAACCATAGCCAGCTTCTTCTATTGCACCTTTCTACATGCGCAGTCAAACATGGTCTAGTGAAATATTAATGTAAAAATTCTAACAACATTTTTAAAGAATCAATGTATCACTGAGAAATAAAACATATTGTCTGTACGTCCTGTATGATTAAACAAGGGGTACAATCAAGGCATCCTCCAGGACCACAGTGGTTAAGTGGTTTGACAAGGCTGCTGTGAAATCAGAAAGGAACCTGATTATAATGCTCAGAGAATGCATAAATTGATCCTGTTATTTTCCAATTAAGTTCATGGCCAGAGAAGCAGATCCATTCCCTAGTGGAAGCTAATGCTAAGAAGGAAGTGTGTCTGAATGGATGATGAGGTCATACAGACCACTGGAGAGCTGCAGCTGAATTTTTTTTGGGAGGAATTGACGGTACAGTAATAACATTTAGATATTACGGCAGACAAAGAAGAAAGAAAAAGCTCTGCCTTTACCAAGCTCTGAAAATGTGACTATTATCCAAACCCATCACATTATTTGCATTGAACGGTGAAGGAAATTGCTTTGTAGACTGAAAAAAGCACAGGTTACGTTCATTGTCATTTTACAAAAATCATCTAATAATAAAATCCATGCCAAGTAATACAATTTCTAAGATAAGAACAACTTAGGTTTTTGACAATGGATATTTCTAAGCATGTATGCATGACAATACACAACAATATTGCACAAATGAATACTAAGTTTACTCGATTCAATCCCTATCGTGGAAGTTCAGCGCTATAGCGCAATTACATTTTAAGGCTAGTACGCGGAGTCTGCATTCACGGTAAACGCTGCATATGTCGGCTCAATAGGAAATTCACTTTACATTTTAATCGTGCTACAGCGCTGAACTTCAGCGATACAGATTGAATTTGAGCACTTAGCCTCCAGTTAGCTGTATGCTGCAGTGGAAAATTTGCCCAAATACTGTAGCTAGATGTTATGTTATGGAAATAGTGTGACTCTTGTAGCATGAGATTTTAAAATAACAATAAACTCACCACAGGTCTGTGCACATCCCAAAATGCTCTTTCTTGACTATCGAGAATTTTCCTCTCAATCTTATCTCTTTTCTTGTCAACTCTGAGGAGATACACAGTACAGGCAATTACTTTTTTGGTCTTTTACGAAAAACATATTTTGTGTAATTATTTATGTTTTTTCTTTGCCACTTCCCCTGGCCTAAAATGTGGTGTTATTAGGAAACTGATGAGAAGTGGTAGTTAGAGATGAGGGCATATCCGTTATAATGAGGATTGTGGTGATCAACTTAACATTCATCAACCCATACAGTACTACATTAGTTTCATTTGGAAATGTACTTTGCTTGTGCTTCTGCTTGCATAAATATGAACTCCCATTTTCTGGCAAATGCTCTCTGTAGCCGCGCTAAGCTCTCCTGAAACAACAATAAGCATACAAAATCCAGACAGTTATCCCATGACATAATATAATAACACAATAATACCAACAGAACAAAAGGCTTTCACTGTGAGGACACAAATCAGGCTGATATCAACGTTAATTACTCTAGTGCTAACATAATAAAGAGAGAATGACGATATGAACAGAGAAGACATCTTACCGCCTCATAGTCTGCCAGCTCCAGACGAGCTTTGTTTTGCATTGTTCTTTTGCACAGGTAAACAGCTGAGAGACAGAACAAATAGGAAGAACAAACTTATCAGAAAACAGAGAAAACTACTGTTGACCAGATGCTGGCTGTTGATCAAGTTTTACTTTGCCAAACCCCTTCTGCAACAGCTGCAGACTAGGCCACAACATTGAGATGCCTGTGGAAAAGTCATTCCCTATGACCAGAGTACAATGTGGCTTGTTAATGCGCCTTAACAACATCCTTAACTGGTCCTAACCTGTTTACCAAAACCACTCAACGGCCAATCTAAACTAGCCTGTAAGTCACACAGGTCAATAACCATAGCACGTCTGTGAAAATGAACAGGGACTTGGATGGAAACACCTTCCCTCCCATTCCATCACTCCATTACTACAACCCTCTATCCCTCTCTACACTGAACATCTGGAGAGATTCCAGTATTCCATTACCCCTGTACGTGTATTCATGCTATGGCATGACATCCCGTATCACAATTCCAGTGGGTCAGAAGTTTACATACACTCAGTTGACTGTGCCTTTATGACAAAATTATGTCATGGCTTTAGAAGCTTCTGTTAAGCTAATTGACATCATTTGAGTCAATTGGAGGTGTACCTGAGGATGTATTTCAAGGCCTACCTTCAAACTCAGTGCCTCTTTCCTTGACATCATGGGAAATCAAAAGAAATCAGCCAAGACCTCAGAAAAAAGATTGTAGACCTCCACAAGTCTGGTTCATCCTTGGGAGCAATTTCCAAACGCCTGAAGGTACCACGTTCATCTGTACAAACAATAGTATGCAAGTATAAACACCATGGGACCATGCAGACGTCATACCGCTCAGGAAGGAGATGCGTTCTGTCTCCTAGAGATTAACGTACTTTGGTGCGAAAAGTGCAAATCAATCCCAGAACAGCAAAGGACCTTGTGAAGATGCTGGAGGAAACAGGTACAAAAGTATCTATAGCCACAGTAAAATGAGTCATATAGCGACATAACCTGAAAGGCCGCTCAGCAAGGAAGAAGCCACTGCTCCAAAACCGCCATAAAAAAACCAGACTACGGTTTGCAACTGCACATGGGGACAAAGACCGTACTTTTTGGAGAAATGTCCTCTGGTCTGATGAAAGAAAAATAGAACTGTTTGGCCATAATGACCATCGTTATGTTTGGAGGAAAAAGGGGGAATTTGCAAGCCCAAGAACACCATCCCAACCGTGAAGCACGGGGTGGCAGCATCATGCTGTGGGGGTGCTTTGCTGCAGGAGGGACTGGTGCACTTCACAAAATAGATGGCATCATGAGGAAGGACAATTATGTGGATTACATCTCAAGACATCAGTCAGGAAGTTAAAGCTTGGTCGCAAATTGATCTTCCAAATGGACAATGACCCCAAGCATACTTCCAAATTTGGGGCAAAATGGCTTAAGGATAACAAAGTCAAGGTATTGGAGTGGCCATCACAAAGCCCTGACCTCAATCCTATAGAAAATGTGTGGGCAGAACTGAAAAAGCGTGTGCGAGCAAGGAGGCCTACAAAGCTGACTCAGTTACACCAGCTCTGTCAGGAGGAATGGGCCAAATTTCACCCAACTTATTGTGGGAAGCTTGTGGAAGGCTACCTGAAACGTTTGACCCAAGTTAAACAATTTAAAGGCAATGCTACCAAATACTAATTTAGTGTATGTAAACTTCTGACCCACTGGGAATGTGATGAAAGAACTAAAAGCTGAAATAAATCATTCTCTCTACTATTATTCTGACATTTCACATTCTTAAAATAAAGTGCTAATTCTAACTGACCTAGGATTAAATGTCAGGAATTGTGAAAAACTGAGTTTAAATGTATTTGGCTAAGGTGTATGTAAACTTCTGACTTCAACTGTAATCAGCACTTCAACAAAAACAATAGGGATGAATCAAAGAGCTGCTTTGGGGATGCAAACGGCTATCTATATGGCTGGTGCGATTCTTGCAACTCACATACAAAATAAGACTCAAATTAACATAACCTTATCTTTTCCATTAAACCCAATTCATGGTTCTGTTTTCTTCTACTAAGCCAGAGCATTTGGGCTACAATATACAGCATGTCAGATGCTATACAAATTTGTGCCTACATTCATCCGAAGCGTTGAAGATCCATGATATAGCGCAATTGAAATTTAAAGGCAATGTTCCCGCGTTCGCGGGGACTGCATTCATGGTAAACGCTGCATTGTAATTATTTTGCACTATGGCCTATTTATTGCCTTACCTCCATAACTTACTACATTTGCACACACTGTATATAGATTTTCTATTGTGTTATTGACTGTATGTTTTTGTTTATCCCATGTGTAACACACTGTGTTGTTGTTGTTTTTATCGCACTGCTTTGCTTTATCTTGGCCAGGTCGCAGTTGTAAATGAGAACTTGTTCTCAACTGGCCTACCTGGTTAAATAAAGGTGAAATAAAATAAAAATATGAAGGCGCAATCGAAAATTACATTTAAATTCCAATCACGCTTTAAGGCGGATCTTCCGTGCTACAGATCTTCCGTGCTACGGATTGAAAGTAGCCCAAAATCTATGTTGATATTATCATGCTGATGGTTACATTCAATGCACCATACAACCTTCCATTGTGTAATACTATTCACTTCTGCTAAGGCTCTTACCATAGTCTGTATTTTCTGGCTCCCAGCAGTTTGATGGCCAGAAGTAGGGGGTCTGAGAAGAGCGATTGTGAGAAGAAAAGAGTGAGGGACAAGGCAGCTAAAGAACTGAGACACCTTTATCTAAGAACTGATCTAAGAACTGAGATGCTTGGCTAAAATTCCTGTTAGGCCCTTGAGCGAGGCACTTTAGTTGCCTCGGTAAAACATCCAGCCATATAAATGGATTAAGGGTAAAATATATAGTAATGTAAGTCCCAAAGGATAAGCACTCAACAAAGACATATGGATTGAGTCCTCCCTGTGTGGTCTGATATGGATTGGATGAGGTAAAGTAGACAGTAGGAGTACATTATAGTACACAAAAGAGCCATACAGCCTATAGATTCACTGTACCTGAAACCTGTAAAAAGTGCCGTCATCTTTGAGTGTGAGTACATGGTCTGAGATAGGGAAGAAGTAGCCATGGGCAGCCATCAGGGTCCCTAGGTGAAGGGCCTCCACTGGACAACACAAACAACATCATATCATTTTCCACCACAGCACCCCTAATATTCCCATTGTCCCCTTTGACACATCCCACTTCCCCCCTACACCGGGGTATGGCATATGAGGTCAGCATAGTACCGTTAGGGACGGCCTCAAAGGTAATTCTGACCTCATATGCCATATCCCTGTCACCCCTCCTAATGTAAAAAGAAACACATTATATTTCTATCAATATTTCCACTTTGTCTCTCTGTATCTAGAATGTGTGTAAGACTCAGCTATGCATTAAGAAATGATCACTCATTAATGTTTAAAGATACACTATAGATACAAAATGGACACCCCATCAAATTACTGGATTCTGCTATTTCAGCCACACCCATTGCTGACAGGTTTATAAAATCGAGCACACAGCCATGCAATCTCCATAGACAGACATTGGCAGTAGAATGGCCTTATTGAAGAGCTCAGTGACTTTCAACGTGGCACCGTCATAGGATGCCACCTTTCGTCAAATGTCTGCCCTGCTAGAGCAGCCCCGGTCAACTGTAAGTTCTGTTATTGTGAAGTGGAAACGTCTAGAAGCAGCAACGGCTCAGTCACGAAGTGGTAGGCCACACAAGCTCACAGAACGGGACCGCAGAGCGCTGAAGCGCGTAAAAATAGTCTGTCCTCGGTTGCAACACTGACTACAGAGTTCCAAACTGCCTCTGGAAGCAACGTCAGCACAATACAGTGAGGGAAAAAAGTATTTGATCCCCTGCTGATTTTTTACGTTTGCCCACTGACAAAGACATGATAGGTCTATGATTTTAATGGTAGGTTTATTTGACAGAATAACAACAAAAACATCCAGAAAAACGTATGTCAAAAATGTTATATATTGATTTGCATTTTAATGAGGGAAATAAGTATTTGACCCCCTCTCAATCAGAAAGATTTCTGGCTCCCAGGTGTCTTTTATACAGGTAACGAGCTGAGATTAGGAGCACACTCTTAAAGGGAGTGCTCCTAATCTCAGCTTGTTACCTGTATAAAAGACACCTGTCCACAGAAGCAATCAATCAATCAGATTCCAAACTCTTCACCATGGCCAAGACCAAAGAGCTCTCTGTCAGGGACAAGATTGTAGACCTACACAAGGCTGGAACAGTTGGTGCGATTATTCGCAAATGGAAGAAACACAAAAGAACTGTCAATCTCCCTCGGCCTGGGGCTCCATGCAAGATCTCACCTCGTGGAGTTGCAATGATCATGAGAACGGTGAGGAATCAGCCCAGAACTACACGGGAGGATCTTGTCAATGATCTCAAGGCAGCTGGGAGCATAGTCACCAAGAAAACAATTGGTAACACACTACGCCGTGAAGGACTGAAATCCTGCAGTGCCCGCAAGGTCCCTCTGCTCAAGAAAGCACATATACAGGCCCGTCTGAAGTTTGCCAATGAACATCTGAATGATTCAGAGGAGAACTGGGTGAAAGTGTTGTGGTCAGATGAGACCAAAATCGAGCTCTTTACCATCAACTCAACTCGCCGTGTTTGGAGGAGGAGGAATGCTGCCTATGACCCCAAGAACACCATCCCCACCGTCAAACATGGAGGTGGAAACATTATACTTTGGGGGTGTTTTTCTGCTAAGGGGACAGGACAAATTTACCGCATCAAAGGGACGATGGACGGGGCCATGTACCATCAAATCTTGGGTGAGAACCTCCTTCCCTCAGCCAAGGCATTGAAAATGGGTCGTGGATGGGTATTCCAGCATGACAATGGCCCAAAACACACGGCCAAGGCAACAAAGGAGTGGCTCAAGAAGAAGCACATTAAGGTCCTGGAGTGGCCTAGCCAGTCTCCATAGAAAATCTGTGGAGGGAGCTGAAGGTCCGAGTTGCCAAACGTCAGGCTCGAAACCTTAATGACTTGGAGAATATCTGCAAAGAGGAGTGGGACAAAATCCCTCCTGAGATGTGTGCAAACCTGATGGCCAACTACAAGAAAAGTCTGACCTCTGTGATTGCCAACAAGGGTTTTGCCACCAAGTACTAAGTCATGTTTTGCAGAGGGGTCAAATACTTATTTCCCTCATTAAAATGCAAAACAATTTATAACATTTTTGAAATGCATTTTTCTGGATTTTGTTGTTGTTATTCTGTATCTCACTGTTCAAATAAACCTACCATTAAAATTATAGACTGATCATGTCTTTGTCAGTGGGCAAACGTACAAAATCAGCAGGGGATCAAATACTTTTTTCCCTCACTGTAACTGTTCGTCAGGAGCTTCATGAAATGGGTTTCAATGGCCGAGGAGCCGCACACAAGCCTTAAATCACCATGCGCAATGCCAAGCATCGGCTGGAGTGGTGTAAAGCTCGCCGTCATTGGACACTGGAGCAGTGGAAACGCGTTCTCTGGAGTGATGAATCACGCTTCACCATCTGGCAGTCCGACGGACGAATCTGGGTTTGGCGGATGCCAGGAGAACGCTACTTGCCCCAATACATAGTGGCAACTGTAAAGTGTGGTGGAGGAGGAATAATGGCCTGGGGCTGTTTTTCATGGTTCGGGCTAGGCCCCTTAGTTCCAGTGAAGGGAAATAACGCTACAGCATACAATGACATTATAGACGATTCTGTGCTTCCAACTTTGTGGCAACAGTTTGGGGAAGGCCCTTTCCTGTTTCAGCATGACAGTGCCCCCTGCACAAAGCGAGGTCCATACAGAAATGGTTTGTCGAGATCCGTATGAAAGAACTTGACTGGCCTGCACAGAGCACTGACCTCAACCCCATCGAACACCTTTGGGATGAATTGGAATGCCGACTGCGATCCAGGCCTAATCACCCAACATCAGAGCCCGGCCTCACTAATGCTCTTGTGGCTGAATGGAAGCAAGTCCACACAGCAATGTTCCAACATATAGTGGAAAGCCTTCCCAGAAGAGTACTGGCTGTTATAGCAGCAAAGGGGGGACCAACTCCATTCTAATACCCATGATTTTGGAATGAGATGTTCGACGAGCAAGTATCCACATACTTTTGGTCATGTAGTGTATGTTTAGCTTACTCATAAATGTGAGTGCCCTTTCAGTGTATTTGTGTGTTTGCGTGTGGATGTGTGTGATATGTGTTATGCATTTTCTACTTGTGTGAGATTGTTAGGTCTGCAATTTGGATACAGTGTTTTGAATCAAAACAGCAAAATCGTTATAGATAAAGCAATTACAGAAAGAGACAGATAGTCTCTTCTGTAGGGAAGCTACACAGATTGCATACTGTATATTCATGCATTCTGAGAGTGTATTTGCACATTAATCTATATTACTGTCTGGTTAGAGCTTCAGACACGGTGGATATCAAACTAGCTTAAAGACGAATCCACTCACCCCCAAAAATAACTTTTAACAACTTTATGGATTGTTAGCACATAGCCCTAAGTACTAAAGCATTACTGGGTGATCTGAAAAGTCATAGTCAATCGATCAATAATATAATAATACTTTTAGCAAAAATGTTTATTTTCAATTTACAATCTGTAGAAACAATGAGAATAGAAATGTTCAGAACTTTTGTAATATATCACAGTACAGTTGAAAAATATATGGCAAATAGAAATCCAATATGGATGGTGTTAAGAGATAGATGGGTGGTGTTGAATGGAGTTGAAGGATGGGACTAATAACAACTAACAACAACTAATAACAACAAGATAACTAATAATGTAAGCATACTGTGTCCATAATAAGCATATAGGTTATAGGTTGAGAGCTTTTGTGAAAGAGCACAGTTGGAAAGATATGGCATATAGAAGCAAACCGGATGGACATCATGAAAATGATCGGAGAGGTTGAGGGTAGAGGAAGTTCAGGAGTAAAAACAAACAAAATATAATTATTGTAAAATTGACTGTGTCCATAAAGTATGTATATAGTAAGTATACGCTGGAAGTAGAGGCCTAAGCATTGTTTTTCACTAGTTTACTCCAATTAGGGAAGGGGTGGTGGGGTTGGAAAGTAATAAAGGGAAATATATATATTTTTTAAGGATATTTATATTTATATGTGTATGTGTATGTATGTATGTATGTATGTATGTATGTATGTATGTATGTATGTATGTATGTATGTATGTATGTATGTATGTATGTATGTATGTATGTATGTATGTATGTATGTATGTATGTATGTATGTATGTATGTATGTATGTATGTATGTATGTATGTATGTATGTCTGTATGTATGGTATGTATGTATGGTATGTATGTATGTATGTATGTATGTATGAATGTATGTATGTATGTATGTATGTATGTATATGTATGTATGTATGTATGTATATATATATATATATATATATATATATATTTGCGAGAGAAAAAAACATATGGGGGATTGGAAGTGATGCAGACAATTACATTGATGGAAGTTACAATCTATCTGCAATATTAAAGCTGATCTACCCCCCCCCCCAAAAAAAATAATAATAATTAATAATAATAATAATAATAATAATAATAAGTCCTAAACCATGCATTTATATACACCAACTGTGGTTGAAAGTGTCTAGAACTAAGAGGTATACAGCAGCTTTGTAGGCTAATCGGATTCATATCCTAAACTCCAGAGGAAAAAGAAGGATGGAACAGGAGAATAAAAAACATTATTTCTTAAACTGGAATAGAAATGAGTGTCTGGCTTGGGAAGTGTCCTCAAGTTGTTATTCCCTAGCTAAAGTAAAGCTGTCTGACTTTTTGACCCACTCGTATGCCCTGTAATCGTCTTTACAATGGCTCAGCCATTAAAATGTACTGTACTGTCCTTGTGAATACCCTGGTCTGCATATTATAATTAATTTGAGGTCATTTCTGTACTAGAATGTTGCAATGGGGGTATTGGGACTGTGTTCTATAACATTTCTAATCAAATGTAAACTTTCCTTACAGGACCATTGGGGACTCAAACAAGATTTTCTCAAGCTTAAATGTGTTTCTGTGTAATTTCCTGCTCTTAGTGCAATGAGATTCCTAAATCATTCCTCTTGAAGTAAAGGTAACTGATGCAAGAATCAGATTTAAAAAAACAGGTAAAAATACACCTTATGGAACAACGGGGACTGTGAAGAGACACACACAAGGGTATAGACACATGCATACACACACATTGTGATATTGCTGTATGGTGG